GTCCGAGAAATAATCTCCTCATCTCCTCTCCTTTCACCCAACCCCCCCTAGTCCACCCCTTGTCTCCTGCATCCATCACACACCTCTCCTTACATCCTCCCCAGCAACAGTCATGCTCACTGTTTCCCCCCTCACATCTATCACACAACCTGTGTCATGTTTTGCCACCACTCTCAACGTGCCATTCAACCCTGTGTGCCCATACCTTAACCTACTCCACACTACCTCTTCCCTCCTGCACCCCATCATTCCCCCAACCTCCTTCACTGACCTATTTATACCCCGGAAGTGCCTCCCTTTACCACCTTCACCCCACTGTCTCTCCCACTCCGCAATCCCTGCTTCCCGTATCAACGACTTAACCTCCCTGCGCCCTAACGACACCCTTACATCCACCTCAGTCCTCCTTACAGCACTCTTTGCCACCATGTCAGCCACCTCATTACCCTCCACTCCAGCATGCGCAGGAACCCAGCAGAACCTCACCTCTACTCCCTGTCTCTCCAACCCCAGCAATATCCCCATCAATTCTCCCAGTAGGTCTTCCCTGTCAGACCTACCATCCATAACACTGCTCAACACTGCTGCTGAGTCTGAACATATCAGCACCCTACATGGTGTCACATCCTCCACCCATCTCAACCCAATGATCATAGCCACCATCTCTGCTGTATACACCGACACATTATCAGTGACTCTTTTACAGATACTCACACTGAACTCCGGCACATGCACTCCTGCACCCACTCTACCACCATTCACTACCTTAGATCCATCAGTGTACACCCTTACAAAACCATAAAACCGTTTACAGACATACTTCTCCACACACACACTCACGTCCCCTTGCCCCACTCCCTCCTCTCCTCCATCATGCCTACATCCACTCTTGGCATCGGGAACATCCACGGAGGGATGGGCCCCAATGCAATCGCTGGCCCTATCTCTATCCCCTCCAAGCCATACTCTGTCACTTTCTGCCCTATTGTCCACCCATACATCCTCAAACTACTCTTGTCCCTCTCCCAACACTCCCTAGTTGCCACAACCGCCGTGTGGCTTTCAGCACACCCCTTCAGCCTGCCCCAATACGCCAGCGCCAACTTGTCCCTCCTCAAGCTCAGTGGCAATTCCCCTGTATCCACCTGCAACACCACTACTGGAGTGGTCCTGATAGCCCCCACACACAGCCTCAGTGCTCGTGATTGCACCCTGTCCAATCGCTGTATCACCGTCTTGGCCGCAGCTCCATAAATAAAACACCCATAGTCTATCGTGGATCTTACCAGTGCCTGATACATACACAACAGTGTCCTCCTATCTGCCCCCCAGTCTACACCTGCCACAGCCCTCATCAGATTCAGCACCTTCCTGCACTTCTGTTCTATAAACTCCACATGTTTCCTCCATGTGAGCCTTCCGTCAAACCATAATCCCAAATATTTAAACTCTAACACCCTTCCCAATTCCTGGCCATACATGTGTAACCGAACCTCCCCCACCCTCCTTCTCGAGTACACCATGAAACACGATTTAGTCACCGACATCCTAAAACCCCATCTCTTGGACCATTCCTCCACCACATCCACCGCCTCTTGCATCTTCCTCATTACAAACTTTTCATTCTTACCTCTCTTCCACAAAGCCCCATCATCTGCATATAGTGCCCTACCCATACCTCTCCCTACATGCCAACAAGACTCAGCTAATTTACCTTCCCCTAATCCTGATAACGAGCACCCGCAGGCTCCTACACACCAGATCACAGAGCATCCTCGTCAACAATTAGTGCTCAATAATGCTGAAAATTAAAGATTAATTAAGATTACACAACAAGATCACTGAAATTAACTGTTGACATTTGTCAAAATCAAAAGCAGGATTTAAATGTGCGCAGGAAGAGAAGCAGCTCATTCCAGACTGAAGCCTCGTACAGCTGACATTAAATGTATTATATATTTACATAGTGTATCTACACTTCTCAATGTGTAAGCATGCAGTCCCTTTGTATTGTACCTCATCTCAAAGCAGACATAATATACCATTTCCTGTTTTTTTCCCCAAACAACCACAACTGCTCAGCCAGTTTGCTCTGACAGAAGATGCTACAATGTGAGCTGATTCCCTGCTCTTGCACATTTTATGACCAGTAACTCTGACTGAAAGGATGCTGCAATTAGGACCCGACTTGTTGTTTCCAAATGCCGCCTGTGGTTTTGGTTTAAATGATCAGATCTTCTATGCCTCTAGAGTGCACTTAACACCTGGATTCTGTCATTGTTTACACTAGTGGTCCCCAACCACCGGGCCGTTTGGTACCGGGCCGCACTACAGAAAGCTTATATATTTTTTTTTTCTGAAAAATGTTTTATTTTGAAAATTGACCAGATTTTCTCCTAATTATGTGCGCTCGTCCCTCTGACACATTCCCCACGCGTAACCAGGCGTTTTTCTTCACGTTTACAATTGTCCTCTGACCGTGCACGGCCCACCAGCGAACAAAGCGTGGGACTACTACACCCCCCCCCCCCCCCCCCACCCGGGGGGACTTCTCCACCGGGCCGCGAAATATTGTCTGACATGAAAACGGTTTGTGAGGGAAAAAAGGTTGGGGACCACTAGTTTACACCATCCGTCCCCCCGGGAAATAAACTAATCCCAAATTAAACATTTTTTTTAGTTGAAGAGTGGATAAGGAGTAGCACCCTTAAGACACCAAAGGCCTGATCACCAAAGGCCTGATCACCAGCCTTTCTACAGGACCACTTTCTACCATTGAAGAAAAGAAAGTCAAATAAAAGAACAGTTCGAGGTGAGACCGAATTGACCTGAATCCAGGTACAAAAGGACAAAAGCAGTGATTGTGAAATAGTACGCTTTACTCACTTGTCCAGAGCAGAACCTTGCGCTTGGTTGCTGGTGAGCCTTGAGAAGACATTGCGGTCGTTCCTGGTCCTTAGAGGAGGGGAGGAGGGGGGAGTGTAACCGTCAGTGGGCCTGATAAGGGGCAGAAGGGTGAGGAAGGTTAAAGATGACGAAGGACCAGAAGACTTAAGAGAAATGTGCCAATGTGATCAATCAACAAAAGATTTAATAAGTGCATATACCTGTATGCACGGTCGTAAGATTTCCTCCTTGTTAGAGGGGAAGTATCATAACCCCGAGACTGCCTGGGACTGACACACACACACACACACAAATGCAAACTAAGAAAATCTGCACAGGAGGACGATTCATGTCTATGTAAACTGTTGGGAGTCAATAAGCGATTAGGTTTCTTTGCAATTAAACAGCATTTCTAGCTGAATAAGCAACTGGCAAGACTCATTTCTTTAAATATCAGATTTCAGTCAACCAGGCTACTCATCCCAGAGGACTAATGCAAATCTTACTAATTCATTGGCTTATGGTTTCCTCTCTTTACGGCAATTTTGTAACCTAAGAAACGACAGGCCTCTGGTAATTTCCCAGTGGTCGTTAACTTGGGAATATGAGGCAGGAAAAAGTCACACGCTTTGTCTCTGTCATTTGGATTTATAATGTTCTTGCTGATTTGTGATATTCCACAATTACCCTGTTGTTTTCCTCCCCTCATGTGTTAATCCTCGTAACGTGTTTCATGTTATTCCGCGACTTTCCTCTTTGAGACACTTGAGACACAAATGTTTATCCTTGTGGGGATTGGAGACGGTTCTTTAAATGAAGAAGACTAACCAACATACAACCTGATTTTTCACACAGCGGCACAGTGACTTCCAACAGGGGTACAGTACTTGTACCCAAGGGGGTGCTGCCAAATATTTTTGAAAAAGTAAAGACAAAGCAACAAGCATTCCTTCTTCCCAGTGACACGTACAGGATACCTGTACCTCCTGTTGAATCTTAACAAAATTCTATCATTTATTTTTATTTTTAGCCTATAACATTTGAATCGTATTTCCTATCATGCATTTTATTTGAGTTCAACTTTTCAAATGATTTTTTCATCACCAATTTGACTAATTCCATCCAAATGCTATTCTTCCTACCTCTGTAAATTCACCTTGCGTCATCACAACAAATTGTTTTAATTCACTTACAAGGTGTGTCCCCTGACAGGAAGGCTGATGGTGCGAGACACCCGGTCCCTGTGGAAGGGGTCTCGTAGGGCAAGGCTGAGCCCCAGAGTGGCTTTCCCAAGGCTTAGGCTGTCCTCCTGGATGTCGGTCAGAGAGGCCAGAGACTTGGTGATGTACTGCTGCTTGCTGCCTGATGAATGATCCAGAATGGGACCCAAATACTCCGCAGACACCGCTTTCATCTGAGCTGACAGACGAGGCTCAAACTGATTGGAAAAGGGGTGCCGTTTGTGTTACAGGGCACAATAAGAGGGAGAATTATATGAAAAGGGAGGACAGTGTGATATAAATATCGCCATAAAATAAAATGACTATACCGAATGATATATTGCCTTTCAATAAGAAAAACAAGGGGATTAAGATATGTTGGTCGAAAACATCCATCAGCAGGAAGAGACATTTTAAAAAGAAAAACAAATGTGTTTGAATGGAGACAGCAGCCATTGTGGGTTAAAACATAGGAAAATACCCAATAAAGAATAGAGAACATGGTATTAAAATTAGGATAAGAGGGATTGCTGTCAAATGAGGGGTACCTCCTAAGGACACAAAACTAAGGTATTGGAAGTGGAGGACTTTTAAGTGTTTTCATGCACTGACTGACAACTTGTGGTTAAAAATAAAATGGCAGCTGCTCTGACAGAAAAACGGTGGCATGGAATGACAGTGAAAATGAAAGCAAATATCTCAGGAAATAACTCAACACAATCACACTTAGCCCAGTGATACCACAAGACGAAGCACTACCCAACCAGTCAATAGTTTGGACACACTTTCATTGAATGTTCTCAAACTTTTGACTGTTACTGTAGCTCTATTCAGGAATTTAAATACGTAAGTAATGTTAACATCTGCATTTTGAAAAAAACGTTCATTGTTCACAAACATTCATTTGAAACTGGGTAATAAGCAAAATTAAGATGTACCTTTATTTTGAAATCATCTTGGCTGTTGGATTCTTTTATTTGTACACTGCAAAAAGAGAAGCAATGAGACTTCTTGTACATTTTGCAAAAATAAACTTTGGCATATTACTGTCAACTTCTTTTTTATAAAGGGTTGTTTGTGTGTGTGTCTCACCTGCTGTCAGAGGCTTGGCTGAACTCAGAGGGCTCCTCATCTGTGCTGGCATAACCATTCTCTGTAAGCACACAAAACACAACTTGTCAGCACATACACTTCCATTTATTCCACAAGTCTCACAATCTATGAAACCATGACGTTTTTTCAATTTCATATCCTCTTAGGATATTAAGGCAAGAGAGCGTTCAACACAACGCCAGGCACGGCTAAACACAAATGAAATTAAACAGCTAACCCTGCTGCACGTTGTGGATGAGAGCTTGAAGTTCAGGGATGTATTCTGCCTTTTCTCTCAGAGCATCAAGGATTATGTGATTGTGAGATGAGCCAATCACATCTGTCTGTTTCAGCTGACCCTCCAGCAGGCGGATCTGAGCCTCCTTCTGAGCCACCTGTAAACTCTGTGTGCACATAATGCCCGGACAAATCCAAGATGATAATGAACTTTTAGACTTGATATCAAACAAAAATAAAGCTACTACTTAATGCATTTACTATTTTTCTTTTCTTTTATAATTATTTTTTTTTCCAAAAATGAGAAATAGCCTTGACCTCTGACAACACGCAGTACAAATAGACTCAACTAGATGGCACCACAGTCCATTATATAACGCACCACCACTTTCTCCATACTGGACATTGCAAAAATGCATATGATAACATTACAAAATTATTTTAGTTACATGCTTTTAGTTTTTTTGTTGCTAAAGTAACATATATTGTTTCACACCTTCAGGAGTTCGTATATAAATAGTTCCGTATTGAATATACAAATGTTTCAAGGCAGCAAACCCACCACTCGTTAAGCTTTCCCTGTGTGGTAACTTACTTTGTCTATGGAAGCCTTCAGGAAGTGGTCCAGCAGGTGGCGCGCTTCAGCCAGAGAACAAGAGCTGATCACCACTGATGTGTCAACAGAGTCCAGCTCATCCTGCAGCGAAACAAAATATGTTAACACAGGCCTCCTGTCTCACGGCTTAGACGCAAACATTAGCGTGTGTGTGTGTGCGTGTGTTCGCACCTTGGTTTCCTCTATCTGTACAATGGTGGCCTGGCAGTCAGACAGGCTGTCGTTGATGTAGTCTATGTTGGCGTTCAGCACCTCAATGTCCTCATTGATTTCTTGAAGGAGGCGGTCTTCTGCTTCTGGCCCCTCCCCATCCGCCATTAGTACCTGCCTCTTATGTGAGAGTGATTCCTGCTGGACTGTCAGCTCCTCTCGCTTCTGACTCATCAAAAACACAAATGTAAACAGAAAAGAAGAAAGGTCAGAGCTATGCTTACAAAAACAGACATCCAAATGTCGAGGATAAGGAAATAAAAAAAAATCTTCCAGATTCATAGAAAAATACTGTTTTGAATACTACAGCATGATTTGATTAGTCTCCATACAGGGCTAGAAGAGGAATAAAAGAGGAAGGAAGAGCCTCACTCACGTTGGTTTCAACTTTTGAGATGGAGTACGTATCATTTTGAGTCTGGATATTTCATTTATAATACTATTAATAGCGATGCATATAATTTCTGGCAAATCTTATCAGAAAACACTGCTGTGTGACCGGGTCACATTCATTCAATGAAACAATACAGCCCTTTTTTATCCTCCAAAGCCCCTGAACCAAATGTTATCACAACAACCAAGACGCCAATTTCCAGCTTAATCTTGCGTAAAACTGTGACTGTTTAAACCTTGATGAGGCGGTCCATGTCAGCCTCCACATTGCCGATGGTCATTCTCTGCATGACAATGTCGATAATGCGACGCTCAAGTGCCTGCCACTTCTGACGGGCAGACTTAGAGAAGCTGGTAGCTCGGCTCGTCGCTGCAGGGCTGCCCTGACCTGCTGGCTTACGCTGCAACTTCTTCCTACCGATGGGAAGAGATAAAGGGAGAGGAGAGAAAGAGAGAAGTCGCAAAAAGAAAAGTGAGGAGAGGATTGGAAATTCGAAACAAGGGAGCGAAGCAGAGTTAAGGATTTAAGGGATAAAGTATAAAAAAGATAAACTCCACTATACTTCAAACATAGAATGACACATTCAACTTCTCCATATTAAAAACCTTAATTGAACTTTTTAGGCAGTGTGTAGTAAGCTCGTCGTTAACTGATGTTTGGTGCTGAGCAGGCAGCGTCTCGTAGTATTTTAAAGCTTTTACACAGAAAAACACTATGAACACTATGAGCGTGACTATGAGCCCTAACATGTTGTCATTTAATACATTTTGTTATGAACCATGTAAATGCATGCACATGTAATGGTAAATGGACTGTACTTGTATAGCCTTGGTCTTCCGACCACTCAAAGTGCGTTAACACTAGACATCATTCACCCATTCACACCCATTCATACACTGATGACAGGAGAACCATACACATCAGTAACTAACATTCACACACTGTAGTCACAGCTACAATGTTGGGACATGCAGGTTAGCAGAGCCTGGGATCGAACCGACAACCCTCTGATTGGAGGACGACCGTGCTCCCCACTCACCCACAGTCGCCATGTAAAGTAGAGGGAATTGACTAGGCGGGCCCTTCTTACCTAATCACCCTGGTCCCATCCATGCTGCCTTCGCTCTCCGCCAGGTATCCAAAGACATTGTTTTTGTTGTTCCACTGCCTCACCAGCCCGCTCACACTCCTCCCACTCTCGGGTTCAGAGCTGCTCGCTGTAGTGCCGGCCGATAACTCGGCTCCAGAGTCAGGAACCGCGGTGGCCTGGTTCCAGCGGGCCACTCTCCCAGCCACGCGGTCCGACATGGGCTTGGCCAGGCGCCGCAGAGCGCTCACCTCCTGGGTCTTTCTGCGAAGCACCTGCTCCTGCTGTCGCTTCTGAGACTCCAGTGAACGTATCTGGTACTGATAGACAGGACGGAGGGAAACAGTGATTGAATATGAGTTCAGTCTTAGCAGATCAGTCTTAACTGAGAGCCCATATTTATATTTTTATTATATATTTATATATAAATATATTTATATTTAAATTACATTCTGAGCTAAATAAGACGTTTTCCACAACAGACTTATATAAAAGGTTGATGGTGAGAGGATTTTAAGACAATCCCGAAATAAAAGGATTACGAAAAAGGACCACAGCGTGACAGTGCAAATCTTTCCAGGCTCATTAATAAGCCTTCTCCTCCAGGGAAAACAAATAAAGACCAAATGAATGCATTCAGACTAGGTGGTCCTATTCAAAACATAAAAGTGATTCAATCTAAAAAGAAATCTATCCTAAGCACACGCAAAAACATGCAGTCTGACCTCTTGGCGGCGCTGCTCCTTCTTGAGTTGAGCGATCTCCCTGTTCCTTTTTGCCTCGACCATCCTCCTCCTCAGCTGCTCCTCCTTCATTTGCTTCATCAGCGTCACCTGGAAACAGCACAGAGGTCCGGCTTCTTTAAACTGCACGAGTAGTCCTGTCGTTTTTCTCTATGTGCTGCTGATCCTCCCCACTAATATTTCTTCCCTTTTACCTTGGCTTTCTTCATATCGTTGACCTCTGTCTGGAGTTTCTTCAGCTCCCCTTCGTACCTCCCCTGGTTTTTGAGGAGACGCGCATGCTCTTTCTGTGCCACCTGTAGCTTCAGCAGATCTCGGTTCATCTCCTTGAGACGCTTCTCATAGTCCTGCTTGATCCTGTTGGCCTTGTCCTCCGTGTAGTTCTCCATGGACACTGTGTAGCCATGTAACGTTAATGTTAACATTAATGACTTGTTGCTAAGCTTCAATGGTGACATTTCTTTACTCACGTACTGATCAACAACTTCCCAACCCCATGTGTGTACTAAACATTTTGTGATGCATTAACTCACTGAGATTCTGCAGAACGCGGTCTCTCTCCAGCTGAGTGTCTCGGATCTTGTTTTGCAGTAGAATGAGCTTCTCCTCGTACTGCAGCTTCAGCATCAGTAGCCTCCGCTGGCTGTTCTCCAGCTCGTCCATCAGCTTCTGTTTGATCTCGATCTCGCAGGTCAGATCAGCCAGGTCCGCCTGGAAGTTGGCTGCAAATTGGAGAGGAAAGTCTCAGACAGAGTGCAAAGAGCTTATAGAAGAGACAATTATGTTTTCTTTCAGGATAACGATTGTGTCAATTCTTATGATGGACGTCCCTGGAAAAGTTCCCGTCTACAGAGCCAAACTGTTAACATGGATGAATGGGATGGAAAAGGGGGAAGAGCTGTCTGTCTGTTTGTAGCAGCAGCTGTCAGGGACATACCTTTCTCAGAGTCCGAGTCTGAATCCACCAGGCTCTCGTCGCTGTCAAACTCGTCCTCGTCTTCTTCCCTGCCTTCCTCCTCATCCTCCCCCTCCTCATCTTCACAACCACTCTCCTCCTGCAACGGGGACATGACATCCTGCACACAGAAACACAGATACATCAGACTATGTTTGTTTTAAATTTAATAAATTTGTAGGAGTGCAAACATGTGTACATTACCTCAGTGTAATTGTCATCTGAATCGATCTCTCCATTCTGTCCGTTTTGTCTGTTATCATTACTGCGCCCATTCTCTCCATTCTCGCGAGTGTGCAGTTTCACGCGCTTCTTCAGACCTTTCTCCATATCCGGACTGCAGGCGGAGAAAAGCATGACTGTTCAGCAACATGGCAGTTGGCAATTTATCCTCAAATTATTTGTACTTCACCATTTTCTACATATTCAACTACAGAAATACGAGTGGTTTTGTCCTGTAGCATAGCATTAGCTCGTTCATGTAAGTGAGATGTCATACACTCCTGACAACCACCATCAAGGCTTTTGGAATGTTGCCAAGTGATGTGCTTATGGCAAAATTAGATCTCTTAAGCAATTAGCACAGTCTCCTTCAGCTTATCTACTCCCTCAGCTTCCCTTTTAACTCTTTACTTTTTATTGCCAAATGTATTCCCCTTTTGCTCCTTCTTTTACAACCACCACCAAAGCCATGTTTAAATTCCTGTCTCCTTCCATCTCTATCCTATTAAACCTCAATTAGCCTGTTTGGCTGTGTACTCTTCTCTCATGACCCACTGGCCGACTGAATTAGACCTTTTTGTGTCCAAGCCAGCTTACTACTTAGCGCTGGCTGCACCCCAGCTATGTCAGTAGCTGGCCTCCCCAGTGCACTAACCGACTTGTGATGTGGCTCTTAAGCTAGAGGAGAAAAGCAATGAGGCGGAGGGGGGGGGGGACTAGATTAGCACCAACAAAAAAAACAGCTTCCTGAGCTTCCTTTGGATATGACTCTGATTTATATTAATATTGTTATTTATTATTATTGTTATTGTATTATTGTTTTGTGGAATTGGCATGTGATATCATCTTAAATGCATCCTTCTCTGTTCACCTCAATCGTCTCTGCCTCCTCTCCTTCTTCTTCAGCCTCTCGATGTCCCGCTTGGCCCGGCGCAACACATCCGTCATCTCAGCCTCCATAGATAATGAAGCAGGGGAGGAGCCAGGGGGGTGACCAGGGGTGGGACTTAGAGTGGAAGAAGGGAACAGGGGACGCGAGGAAAGTCTAGCTGCCTGCCGTCGCAAAGACTCATTCATAGCCTCGCTCTCAAGGAGCTTGGTTCTGAGAAAGGAGGAATAGAGCAGAAGAAAAAGACAAGTCATCAATCAATCTTTTCTGCTTTTTTCTTCTTCAATTCATTACACTCAGGGGTTCAACATGTGTATAATGCTGTGAAACTCACATTACTCAGTTAAATAAGCGCTACTAAAATCAAAATTATATCATAATTGTCACTTGTGGATGACTAAACTGATAACAAACCAAATCCATTTGGGGAAATATAAGTGGTTTGCATGCTTACTATTGGCGAGTTAGTTGAAAAGATTGATACGCTCTTTTGCCTCTCCGGTCAGTAAGACGCGACATGGCCAGGACTTCCCTAAAAGGTCTAAATATTTCTTTAAAATGCAAAGTAATGTCAAAAGATTGCAAATAAACACTTCAGAGATCACAATATTTCAAGTAATGGAAGCAGATAAAGAGATTCTAGAAGGTTTGGTGCCCTTACCTAAGTTCTTCAACCTCTCGAATGTAGTTCTGTATCAACGCACCAATCTCCTCATTTCCCTCACCTAAAATTTAAAGGAGGAAGGAGCCTCAGGGCACAGAAACCAACACTATGGGGTGCATTAATGTAGGATTTAAGATGGTGACTTAGGTGAAACTGAATTCATACATTCAAAGCAATTACAAATCTCCCTCACGTACTTGACTTGGTCAGCAGACTGCTGACCTGATTGGCCACCAGATGTGTTACGCGGGTGTTGAGGTGGTCAATGGTCTCCTGCATGGCCTTCACCCTGAGCCTCATTGTATCATTTTCCCTCTGCAGCATTGCATTCTCCTGAAACATGTCGCTGTAGCCCTCTGAACCATCATCCCCAGCCACACGCTTCCCCTGCACAGAGAACCAAACAGTCACCATGAAAGTCAACGACCCTGAACACAACAGGAATTTGATGGAAAAATACACAGGACCAAAACACCTGAAAAACAAAAACAGAACAGAATTGATGAAGTCAAATTGAAGAAAAGACCATTGTTTCAAATGAGTTGGTCTGTCGCTCTTCAAGCTGTTGCTGTTTTCTGAATGATAAATGCTGAAAAAAATCTTGCTGTTTAAGCTTTGGACTTGACTGTGGAAACACCGTTAATCACGTAATAGACTGACAGCCTTACTGAATTTCTTGTAACCCTGGAGGACAAGGCTGATAAAAAACTTCAGGCTCCTTGTGTATATCTTTCCCCATTTCCTGGATATTTCTTGTAACATTTTCTTGTATCATTCTCCACTCTCCTGTCTTCTTACTGCATAATGGTTAGCATTAGCTAAACCATGTGAGACAGACCCTCTCAAACCAAGCAGATTGAAAAACAGGATTAAATTCTTTGGAAAATGCTAAGTACAAATGGACATGTCTGTTCCAGTAGGTCTTACTTTTTTTCTTCTTCTGCTCAGTAACAACCCCCCCCCCATTTCATCCCGCCTCATCCCCATCAGCTTTCACATAGTCACCCGTCCCACCCATCTCTCACCGCCTTGTACTCCATCAGTTCCATCTGAAGTCGGGCTATCTCGGCACGCAGGGCGCTGATCTGTTGGCTGGTCTTGTCTTGGTTCACTACCACCTTGTTCCTGATGTTCCTGGCCCGGTTCGCATACTTTAACGTGTTCAGTGTCTCCATGAAGTCGCGGTCTGACGGACTGACGCAGGCGATCATCACCGTGCGACTGAAGAGGATGAAAATGGAACGGTTTAGACGGCCATGCATAAAGTGTAACTATGACTTGTTAGTGTAATAACATGAAACACCTTTTGCTACTCAGGCACAAAATCTGCAAAACGTTTGTCAAGAAATCAGCCAGAGCATTAGCATCGCAACTGATGATTATTTTTATTATCGGTCGATTTTTTAAATCAATTATTTTGTCTATTAAATGTCAATAAATAAATTACAGATTTGCAGTTTTCTATCCCATATACAAAAAGCATCAAACCTCAAATTATCACATCACATTTTGGGAATTTTGAAAATGTAAAATGAGAAAATATAATTCACTTTCAAAATATTGCAATTATTTTCTTTCAACCAACTAGTGCCATGATGAATGACTACTTTGCATATGTACAGCATGCACGTGTGTACCTGTTGCCTCCCAGTGAGTCCTGTAGTAGACGAGTGAGTTTGGAGTCTCTGTAAGGGACGTGTCCTCCCTTCTTGATCTGGTCCCCTAAAGCACTGATCACGTTTCCCAGCGCCAACTAAAGCACAAACACAAAATAGCATTCAAGTGGTGGGATCGGCCCGATTACACACACTAAGGACACACATTAAATGTCTGTTGCTCCCACCAGTCCACAGTTGATGGAGATCCCCTCACGGGCTCTCTCTCCTGTGGCTCCTGTGCGTTTCAGCCTCTCAGAGCCAGCGAGGTCTACAAAGTGAAACTTGGCCATAAGAGTCTCGAACTCCGGCTGAGTGATGGGGCCAGAGTTCACGCCGCTCAACTCTCCGTTCACCTCACCTCCACCGTTCTGCTGCCCGGGGTGGACAAAAAAAACAATTCGAAACTAGTTCATGAGTTGAGAATGTCTTATTGTATTATATTTTAGTTTTTCCTCATATCACCCTCCCCCCGCCTCACTCCAGATCTCACCATTTGAGCCCGCTGGCACACTCTCATCTGACAAAGGTGGATGGTGAAGATGGCATGGGAGCGGGAGCTGGTGGCGTTCATCTGGGTGCTGGCTGTGGTGCGGGACAAAGCGCCGAGCTTCAGGCACTGCAGCAGCTGCAGCACGCATGCAATATGGAGGACATTTGGTTATGGCTGCTTAGTCGGAGTTGATGAAGAGAAAACCATGTGTGTTGTCTGGAGCCCTTTCCATAAATCCCCATCTGCCACATCTTAGTCCCTGGCATGTCAAACAGACATTACTCCTGCCATCTTAAGCCCATCACTCTGATCACTCACCCCTTATATCTTCCCAATGAACTACCGTTGGGTAACACTCGCAAAAAGTAACTGACCAGTCTGGCCTTAAGGCAGCGTGTTTGCACCAAGTCTTACTTATATACCTCCACCTATTTCTTGTTAATGACAGCTGACTACCAGATGGTTAATGCCAGAAATTTGGGGTGCTGGCGATCTCTGGCTCTGTCTTTAGTTAGTTGTTTGCGACAAAATGGCAATTACTTCTAAACTTGAGTCTGGCTCTTTTTCCTTCAAACTCTTGATGCAAATGATCACTTCCAACCAATCGTAGAAGCAAGCTCCAGTTTACTGATTTAGTTTGAGCCTCTACATTAAATTATGTTTGGTGATCTGTTTTTCGTCAAATAAAGGACCTTTAGACCAAAGTACTGATATATACTGCGTAATATATAGTGTACAAAACTACTAAATGTAGAAAAAAACTGATAAAAGTAAGGAGGATGTCTGCAGATAACGGACATAGGATATCAACACACATGCGCCCACCTCCTCCTCCGAGTTCACCAGTCTAGAAGTGACTCCAGTGGTGTAAATGCTGCCACTGGCGTCTTCATGGATCTTAATGTTGGACTTCCTGCTCCGATTCTCTGGATCTCTGGATTCGCCAAACAAGTCCAGGACCTCTTCGTTGTACAACTGCAAGAAACACACAATGTATATGTAAGCAATGCTGAAGAGAATTAGCAAATTTATGATGACATGGCGATTACACTGATCGCAATGATTTAATTACAATGATTTAATGAGCAGTCATACGATCCTCATGGTCTCCCCTTTTCTCACAGCTATGTTTCGTATTGACACACAGATCACAAGATGGCAAAGAGGGCAAGGGCCACAGAGGTCACCTGAAAAATCCACTGTTCCCACCAACTTCCAAACACATGCTGCCCCCACCCACCCCTCCTCCCAGACACACACATCTGTTAACCGTCAGAGACAACAATGTGACCTGAGAACACAAACACATAGGCAGCAGATAGCAGGATGGTCAAGAACGAAATAAGAAAAGGCTACCAGGAAAATAAATGTATCATCTATTTTATCGTCATTATTGTTTCGTAAATCTTAATAAAGTAATTGGATCATGCAAGCACACACAAACACATGTAAATGTCTGCATCCAGACGCAACCCAAACATTTGCCTGCCAGAAACCTCTGCAGGAAATTATAAGTCACTGCTCCCACACAGCATCCCTTCCTCGTATCCATCCTCTACCCCACAGCGATGAGGAATAATGTCAGAGGTAATGGCCACCATTAATCAGGACCAACAAAGCACAAGCAGACATTCCTGCCGATCTGTCGTTGGGTTGTCACTTCCTATTTGTAGACTGGGTATTGTCCCATCTGGTAAAGGTAATATGGACAAATAACACACACACACACACACGCAAACAAGAATATGAACACAACCCTGTTGAAATGTTATCTCAGTGTGGTTTAACATGCGCATCCATCCACATGTGTTTCTCCCACCTCTAGGAACTGGGCGCTGACTTTAAACTCGGGTGGCTGGATGCCGGCCTCCTGGGCGCGTGCCCTATTGTTCTTGATCCCATCAAACAGCTGGTGAACAGCCCGCGGTATGATGCCCTGCTCATGCTGGCCCAGGCTCATATCGAAACCCGTCCCCATGGTGTAGGTTTTCCCCGAGCCCGTCTGAAAAACAGTTCAGTGTGTTTTTATTCACCAAGAATATTTAGGCACAGTCATTATCAGTTTTCCATAAAGTACCAGACTGACATTACCGTAAATTCCGGACTATAAGCCGCTACTTTTTTTCCCACACATTGAACTACTGCGGCTTATACAACGGTGCGGCTAATAGTTTTTTTCGGTTTCTTTATGTATTTCTTACTTATAAAACAATTACTTACTATAAAGAAAACAATAGATGACAACTAAAGCTATGAAACTCATCTCTATCAATTGATCAATTCAAGAAATATCAAAATCCAAGCCTTTGTATCATACCTGTCCATAAGCAAAAACAGTGGCGTTGTAGCCCTCGAAACAGCCCTCGATGAGGTTGTAAACGCAGGCCTGGTAGATGTGCTGCTGCTCAGAGTCGATGTCGAGCACAAAGTCATAAGTGAAAGCTTTGTCTTTACCCAGAAGGACTTGTGGTTCTCCGGGTGTGACGAGCGTGCATACATGACAGCCCTCTATCTTCTCCTTGGCCATCTGAGGACGAATCCTGCGGGAGAAAAGAAAAGGACGGAGGGAATGGAAAATGGAAGATTCATTGATCCAAAAAATAAAGTAATAAAGTGTCACTTTTTAAGCACCATCCGGAGCAATCATGACAAACAATATTTGTTTAAATGTGTTTACCATCTCACATCATCCTCAAGCACAGCTTTATCTTAAATGGGCATTCAAATGAGGCATCAATTTTATTGATGAAGAGGATAATGTCTCAGACTGTGGCGTGATACACAGGACAAACAAGCCATTGGTTTAACTTTAGTTGACTGGAACTAAATATAAATCAGTAACAGAAGAACAGCCCTGAGGATAACAGCCCATACACAAAACCTTTGTTTGTGCTGATAATTTAGAAAGTTAGAAAAGTAACATGAGTAATGCACCATAAAAAGGACAGTTCTTTGCTAGAGGAAGAAAGGCCACTGAAGAGGACTCTGGCTGATAAGTCATCATCAGCTGTTAATTTTGCGGCTCAGGACTCTGAGTTCTCCTCATCTTTCTCTCATGGCAGGTAGTTCATTAAATTGAATTGCCTTCACCTTGCATCCCAGTTGAACATCCATGAACTAAGTAACTAAATTAGGGCTGAGTATTTAAATCTAGCCTAGTTTGGCTGCAGAACTCCTTTAAAGCAGAGGTCTTCAACAGGGGGTCGCAACATTTTGGTTGATAAGACTTTTTTTTTGTAATTCTTTTTTTTTTTTAATTTAATTTTTTTTCCCTCACAAATTTAAATGTCTTCAGAATCAGAATCAGAATTGTGTTTATTGTCTTTAAATACACATGAACATGAATGCAACATATTGTAGCTAACAGATCAATTGATGGAGAAGACTTTGTCTGCAACACACCCGTTCAGCTGCCCACAGGAGCTCTCACTTAAGCTGGGCACCGGTTCATTCACAGCACCTTTCATGCAAATACAACAGCACAGGCACCAGCCAATCAGATCGCGTTAATGCTCACGTCTAAAGAGCACGAAGCTCAAAAATAAAATATGGCGGACCAAACACGTAGAATAGTCCCTGCTCCATCTCGCCATCAGTTTGGGGGACCTTGGCCTGAAGACCCCTGCCTTAAAGCTTTGCAGGCGTTCCTGCTGATTGGAGGAGATGTAGCTGATAGTGACACATTTTACTTGCTTCTGATGCAGCACTGGTTATTAGGTTAGAAAACCCTGCAGAGAAAACTAAGAGTATATGCAATGTCGATAAAACAGAAGATCTGTCCACAAGCACCACTGTTCTTGGGCTTTCAGTGTTACTATGCAGACCTAGTTGGGAGGTAATCACTTTAAGCTTTGGAAAAAGCTGTGATGTAGCATTATTGGAGCACCGGGTTCCGCCTCTACATGATTACCCCTTCCCCACAGTACAGTCCTCAGGGGATGCAAATTAACTCCCCCGCACACAGGGGGGGTGCTCCACTCTGTGGGATGCTACCACGAAGACACACACACACACACACACACACACACACACACACACACACACACACACACACACACACACAAGCTGTATGAAGTCATATAAAAACAGTGGAAATCCCCAAACACATACAGCTGCTGTACAGATAGTGGGAACAACACAAACACGCACAGTAAGTCTAAGAGACAAATAGTGTACACGTAGTTCACAAACAACCTAATGTACTATCTTCAAGTTCACACATGGTTTCTCTCAAGCATGCATTAAAAACCACACCCACTGCTAAAACTCACAATAATCCTTTTACCACATGTCTTTATGGTGCTGCAGAAAAAGGACAGCAGCACTCTTTGGCCCTCTTTCAGGGCCCGAGGCGTCGTGGAAGAGGGTCTTCCAGGAAGGAATTAAAGACATTAGAATTGTCCCATTCAGCAGCAGTATACTGACTCCCGACAGGCAGTGCGACAGAGAAAGCAGCTTGCAGACAGATGAGGGCCTTTTATAACTGAGGAAACATTGACAGAGAGGTTATTCTATTGAAAACCACATATCCACAGGAGCTTTGTTTAAGCAAATTATTAACATCAAGTGGATATGGAAGGGGGACCTCTGGCTCTGCACAATGGATTTATGAGAAGACACACTGTGTGTGTGTGTGTGTGTGTGTGTGTGTGTGTGTGTGTGTGTGTGTGTGTGTGTGTGTGTGTGTGTGTGTGTGTGTGTGTGAGAGAAAAGAGCTGCAGCTGTAAAGGGGTCAGAGGAGGTCATTCCTCTCTCCTTTTCTCAATTCTATCATTCTTTTGTGTGCATACAAAATTGAATGTCAGGTGTAACACTTGACAACTGACATTTAAATGAAAGACAGAAAGATAAATTGACTAAATAAAAGGGGTTGGGTTGCATTTAAAAAAATAAAATGTGAAAATGTCTGCATTTTAAAATAAAGTGCTTCAATTCAGAAAAAATAAAATAATTAAAATAAAAATGTCCCCATTTCTGCTTCACATTTGGACTTGACCGTCTCAGCAAATTATAAATAATAAACGTAAAAACAAATTTTAACAATCGAACAGTTTAATAGAACATATACTGTATATCCACTCAGCTCTAGTTTTTCCTGCCAGGATTTTAAACCAGGGCCTGAATGCATCAGGGCCGTCTCCTCCTCACGTGGAGCTTACTGCGCCTCATGACGGTGTTTCAACCATATGAGACACTGGTTTAGTGCTGCAGTGGGAAGTATAAACAGAAACAAGTCTGTTCATTATGGATTAAATGCTCTACTTTCGCTGTCCACATTTGTTCCTCCTTTTCTCACCCGTCCCTTTCTCTCATGTTCAGTCTCACTCATCTTTTTCTCAAATTTCGCTGTCTTTCTTTTTCTTCTTACCGTCTTTTTATTTGTAATTTGCCGCTACCTCTCTTGTCTGTCCGCAGTATTGAGACGACATCATCCTGCCTGGAATGCAACGACTCGATTGGTCGAGTAGTATCACGTGGGAAGGTTTAACTCGAATGCAATTGGTCTGTGCTTTAAGCCACTATCGTAAAGACGGCCAAAGCTGCACGGTCGAAAAGTGCGCTGTCACGTTAAAATCACAACCGTCCTTTTTTAGCTTTTGGTCTGGCCCTGATGGGCAATTTACTGCCATTCTTCCATTTTTAATTACGAGTCTTTCCCCCAATAAGATGATCTTTCCCTACGCTTATTGTGTAAAACAACATCCCAGTTATGCACGTTGCTTTGTCTCGCATTGACCGCCAAAAATTGTTGTCTGCTGTTGAATCTCAAACACAGTACACAGAACACACTTCTTGCCATTTCATAACAACAAATACATTTATGGTTCCCTTTTCAAAATTCTACTAATTACAAAGAAACGAGTTTGGCCTTGAGCTTAGCTGACATTTGAATACAGCGGTGTGTATCAGCGTTTCTGGCGGTTGATTGGTGGTCCACCGCCTTTTTGGATTCATTTTAATTACATACCTGTGTGTGCAGATATATCCAATTTTAAAACAATCTGTGGCATTCAGAAATGTTGCCATTGTCCATGCGGGCCTGGCATGTTAGCGTGTCGATGTTAGTATCTTCTACTTTGGATGTATATTTTGTTGTCTATTCAAAGTATATATGAACCACTTTGTGTTTGTTGCCTCGGCCGAAGTGTCATATTTAAATGCCACCGGGGTTAAATAAATAGTGGTGATTAGCTGATTGGCAGGCAATCATTTCACAGAAATATTGGTAATTGCTTGATGATTTAAGGAATTATTTTAAGCACAAATTACAACTATTTGTTAGTTACACTTTGTCCAGTGGGACTTTTTTGGCTTCTCTTGGTTCAATATCCATGTCCACATGTTACCATGTTACATCAAGATCAATATTAATGTGTTGGTCAGACAAAACAAGACATTTAAAGCCATCAGCTGTGGATCTATTTAAAATTGTGAAAAGGAATGGTCTGATGTTTTATATATAAATACTTGATCCAAAAGATCATAGAAAGACCAAACCAAAATAAATTATTGGCTGCTGCCCAAAGTCGGATAAAATGTAGGCCATATCTTCTCCACAATCAAAGGAGAGTAACATATTCCCAAGACAAGTAAGACTGAAGTCAACATAGTCCTGAAAAGCTTTGCATTGAACAAGAATATACAGGCACACAACAAAGAGACACAAAGACAACAATGACAGCCTGTCAGTGATCCACGGAGAGAAGAAATGGAACAGCTATAAATAATCAATTCACACGCTCATGATGACACCCGGACTGAGATTGATAAACTTTTAACCCAGCTGCTGCAACAAAAGATTGGGAACGTGATGTTTGTCCGCTCATTATTCCAGTCTTAAATCAGGGGCTGTAAACCTAGTTCTGTCAGACGCACAAATGACACACACAAAGTCAGAAACTTATTAAAAAGCTCTGAAGGAATTCAAAGATTACAATAATGATCAAAGCCAATAGGGCTAATTATCACCAGACTCATAAGAAACAGAAACAAACACACATGCAGGTGCACACAGGCACACACACACGTACACACAAACACACACACACACACACACAGACAGAGAGTAATTGCGATATTAAACCCTGATAACCGCAAACGTCCAAGTATACAAATTATCGTCTTGAGAGAATTGTGTTTAAATGTTGAGAGCCGTTGAGGGGAAATCATAATACTGCCAATCTTTGTTCTTGCGCCCTTTTTTTTAATGAATGCTTGTTCACATGTTATATTAAATACATGGATTGAGGAGTAACTGAAAAATCGGTAAAAGTAATTATGTGTTAAAAAATGATCTCATACGACAAACTATAAGATCCCCTGTTTGAGAGGAAATTGAATTTGGCATTTGATATATTTAGGTTTTTTTAAAATCACAAATATTACAACATCATGTTGTTACAACATGATGTTGTAATATTTGAGGGAAAGGTGACCCTTGTTTGTTAGAGTTTTCAGTTTCAGTCTAAACTCATTTTTAGATAAAATAATCACAAATCTCCACGTTGTTTCTATCGGAGTTCCATGTTGCAACTTGTCTTGCTGGTAAAATCTTTTCCAGGTATAAGGGAACAATTTCATTAGTACACATTATTTTCACTATGAACAATCTAACACACTATGAATGCTAACCAAGTCTCATTGTAGTGTTGGCTGTTTTTCATCAGGTGGCACAATTTAGGAGGTCCGGTTTCTTTGGGACCTGCAACAACCGCTCTGGGACTTGTAATGTGCAATAATTGTGTTTGAGCATGTGTGTGTGTGTGTGTGTGTGTGTATGTGTGTGTGTGTCTTACACCAGTAAAATGTATAATGTTATTCCTGTTGTGCAGATTGCAAATTACAAAATGCTAATGCCCCAATTATTCGGTTATCTTCAACTGAATTTCAACTGCTGACCAACTACCCAATCACAATACTGAAAATAGCCAGGACTGAATGCAAATGCTGTAGCAACAGGCCCAGAGTGCCAATAAAATTCTGTAATTGCTGCCAATGACAGCGAGGTTGAGTAATGCTTGCTGTTGTTGTCTCCCTCCTGGCTACAATCCAGTGGCGGAAGCTGGCCGCTGCGGCCACGTTTCCTTCAACACTATTTATCAGTCCATTTATCAGAGGACAACATCTACTCTCTTCAAGTTTTCCCAATCCAGGACCATTCAATTGTTACCCCCTCAGTCTCTGCTGATCAGCTGATAACAGCAGAGACCAACCGCCCCACTTCCTGTCTCTATTATCCTATCAACCAAATATCACCTTCATAACGGAAAAACCCATCCATCATTTGCTGTGAGACACAACGCTTTGTGTCTGTTCCTTTACGATTGTTTTAAATGCAAACAAACAGTCACCCCCTCCACTACCATCACACATCAGAGCCTAAACCTGGTGCTGACAACTCAATAGTCAGTCCACCATTCAGGAAAGGTTGGGCTGATGGGTGGATAATAAAAGCTCCACTGTGATGTTAGGATACATTCATCAGCGTTAAAGCATTGAGGATAAGCGTAGAAAGCATGTTGGAACGGTCAAGTCTGTAGAAAGACTCTGAATTAGAATTGATTTTGTTTTGAGGATGACTGTTTAGGAAGTAGAGTGCACTGATCTCAGATCGTTGTCCTGGTCATCCTCTCATTCATGAGGCTTGGAGAGGCTGAAACCGAAGAGGAAAAAAGTTACTTGTTCGTTTCCTTCCATGTCCCATATTGTACCACCCCGTTTGTCTTTTCACACCAAGAAAAATACACATATTTGTTGTTCTGAAGCCGATTGCAAGCAAGCAAAACGCTCTCTGGGACGGAGATTTAGTGAATCAGATTAGCAATTTAAGAATGGAGTTTAATGAGATAATGAAATGAGATAACATCTATTACAGGATTGTTTCAAAATAATTGTTGTATGTCCAGATTAAGTTTCTGATTTTGATGTCCACACACCTTCTGGATATTTGATGAACACAACACAGATCATTGCACCGCTGCATGGACTAACAACTAGTTGACATCAAATTGTTTTGGTACAAACATGTGTGGACCATAAACCTTTATTTCTGGACTCTCCACACTAAAACCACATCCTACCTTGTATGTATGCCCTGCTTTCGCCTCTCCACATGAAAGAAGAAACTGGCGTCCCACTCATTAATAAACATGTCTTTATATCCCATTTAGTCTTATAGCTAAATTCCTTTCTGTGGGGACAGCTAAATATTAATTGAAATAATGATTATGAGCTTCAGGCATCCATGTTATTAAGTCCTCCACATTGAGAATCACTTTTCACAAAAAAAAGAAAATCAAGAAAATGTTATGATGTACTGCGGTGCAGGTCAAAGTCTTGTTCTTCTAACGAACAATGGTAAATGGACTGTATTTGTATAGCGCTTTTCTAGTCTTCCAACCACTCAAAGCGCTTTAACACTACATGACATCATTCACCCATTCACAACCATTCATACACTGATGACAGGATCTACCATACACA